TTTAATATGAATAATAAGAAATGCTTTAAGATCATAACTCATTCTCTCCACAAATTCTGGATTTTTGCTTAGCTTTCCTAGCTCTGGTTGATCTGGCTCGCACGAGCGCTGAAAAGCTGGCAACGCTCTCAATGGCGCTCAGCTTGGGCATTATGCAACACTGGTCGATTGTTTTATAGCTTTTATTCCATCTGCTACCAATTTATATAGAATTCTAGCAATGATATCGATTTAAGTAAGACCTCAACCATCGCTTCTCCTCCTAAATTCCTAGCCATATGTGATCCAGCCGAGTCACAGCCAAAAGTTCGCATATTTTCAGATATTTCTTCAATTTGAGTCTCAATTCCTTTGCCCAGCTCAGCTAATGCTCTGTGGCTCTGCTTTCCAGCTATTCAAATCCCTCAATTTCAAGAGGGAAGAGCTCCTTGTCCCTGCAGCTGATTCAGATGATATCTGCAGACAGTTTCCTGCTGATATTTTTGGCTCATTTAGTTGCAGTTCATTTAGTTCAGCTTCAATAAGCTGACCTGAATATTAATTAACAATCGTTGGCAATCGGAACTCTGGCTTTTGCTAGGGAGTAATATCCAAGTTTCGTATATCAGCTTCAATAATCCACGCAAATAGCTGCACAAACTTAGCTGGAAATTCCGAGAACTAAGCAAGGTCCAAGCATGAGCCATGAAAGGCTATATTTACATTAGATTAATATACAATATATACATATATTCAGATATACATATATACATATATATATGTATATATCTATAACTGTCTAGCTAAAACTTATTTCAATTGCACTTCTACGACTATTTGCAGCAAGTGCTTTAGAGCCAGTTAATGCAAGTATTTTCTAGCAAACTAATTATTGGTAATTAATGAACAGCAGTTGTTATTGTTGTTATTGGCCTTTGCTGCTGTTTATGGCCAGCTACTCTGGTGGCACTTGACTGATTTTATAGCGCGGCTATAAAAACCTCAATTAGATTGAACGAAAGCCCCATAAAAACCGCAGCAGCAGCAGCAGCAGCAGCTCTAATCAGTTAACTCAACTACCTCTCCCCCCCCCTGTCTCGCTGGCTGGTATGGCACTAATTGAAATAATTGAAACATTAGCACAACTCGATTGTGGGCGTGGCACACGTGATTGACTCCCAGCCATAGGTAGCCGCATCAATTGTTGCGGCTTATGTCGGCCCACGCCCACAGCAATCACGCCATGCCACGCGACGGCAGCTGCACTACCTCCGCCGTCCATTCGCCCCTCGCTCATTAGTGGAAGCAATTAAAGAGCCGCTCAACCCACTTAGCTCAGAAATGTGCCGCCCGCTTGCCGCCCACAATGCGTAATCTGTGGTCTGGGCACGTTGCCATCGGCCAGAGCAATGGATTGCACTAAGTCGTCTGCTTGCATTCGTGACGAATCACATCGACTCATTTCCGCGAACATCTTTAGGGTTTCATTCATAGATTTTCGAGTTAAACTCCATTCACTTGGAGCTGTGCGAAAAAAGAGTTCAAAGAATGCAAATTTCTTGGGGAGCTGCCATAGCAGCCCCTTTGATGGGAGTTGGAAATTGGCAGATACATGAGCAAAATTCGTAACTGTTGCAACATTAACAACAACAATTTTCCAGCTTTTCTTGCTACTCAGTATAAACATAACATCTCATTTAAGGAAACTTCTAAAAGAAAATGTATAATCGATTGGACATGCATCAAATGAATGAATGAAGAAGCAGAGTGCTCTAGTCGAGCGTACCTGACTAATAGATACCAATCAGAAGCATTTACAATATATAAATAAAAATACGTTTACATTTTTAATATAATTTTTGCCCGTCTTTGAATTAATTGAAATACAAAATTTATTGAACATATAATTTCGTACAATTTGTAACGATAATAATGCTAATAGTAATAATAATAATAATGAAAAAGAATAACGATTATGTAAATATTTATTGTGAAAACCAGACGCCATTAACAAGAATTGCTCCTCGCCCCAACAGCGGATATCCGCTGTTAACAACATCAAATGGCAATGTTAGCAAAATAAGCAATTTCTGTTAATGTAGTCTGGCATTATATTCACCCACAAAATCCATTGAAAGTGGTATTGGAATTAAGTTACACTAGATTTATAATCTACTAGCAGTCCCAGCAAGCGTTGCATTGCCCTACCCTTATTTCTAGGTAAAAAATGATTAAAAGGTATGTTGTTCAGGTTGGGATACACTCTAATTAATTTATTAATCAGATTTTCATTCAAGCACCTTGTGGTAAACGACATTCTTCGTTTTTTGGTCAGGTGCAAGAACAAATAATGCGGATGGTTTGCCAACACGTGAGCATGCCACGTACAATTGACCATGAGAAAAACACGCATTTTCTAGATTGAGGCCACAAATAGTCAAAGATTGGCCCTGTGATTTGTTGATCGTCATGGCGAAGGCAAGACGAATCGGGAATTGAATTCGTTTAAACTCAAAGGGCATATCTGTTGGGATCATCGGAATCCTTGGAATAAGAACTTCCTCATCTTTAAATTTTCCTTTGAGTATCGACGCGTGAATAACATTGCTCANTTTTTTTTTTTTTGAATAGTCAGGTCTGCTCGAGGTCAGGAGACCGTAGACTGACTGACTACATTTGTTTATTTACTTCTACACTATTGTCAAAACTGTCACTGTTACCAAGCCTACTGGGTATAAAAAAAATTTGAACATTTGGGGAAAAAACCGCGTTTTTCAAGTATTCGGCAAATTTTTTCAGTATTTTTAAGACCCTATACTAAACYCKTTSCGGAGACAAATMCAAMAAATCAAAAACCATGAAAATTGGTTCAGCCCAAATCAAGTTATAAGCAGTCTTCACTTTTACACAACTTTCTTTTATATACATATATAGATTCCAAATTCTATATTTATAAGTCATGTCGTTGATGTTGTTACGTTTTCTCTTCATGCCTCCAGCCTCATATATAATAATTTTGAGTATATTTTAATTTATAAATGAAAATAYTTATTACATCTAAATTTGTACATATGTGTGTAGATATGTGTACATATGTATTTGATTCTACATTGAAGTCAATCATCGCGATTGGAGTTCACATTGGCATAGCTATTCAATGTGTGACTGTATTCAATTCCGAAATTCATTTATGTGCGCTGAATAAATTATATAGAGCCAATTTACAGCCTCGTCTCCATAATTGTTGACTAGCAACGCATTACCAAGACTGCTATATCTATGTATGTATGTGTGTATGTCTATCGATTTGAGCTCTATTAGGGCAAAAAGAGTGAATGAATGAGTGCTGAATGCTGAATGCTGAAAAGCTGATTTATGTTGAGCATTTTAAGCTGTTTTGATTTATAGCTTCTTGGCCAATTGCTTTGTGGCAAAACGGTTTATGGCTCGGCCGGCCAAATAAAAGAGCTGTTATCCCAAAGACAACGAACCCACTCAACCCCTCAGCGCAGTCATTGTGGGGCAAGTGGCCATGAAATTGAATTTCCTTAAAGCTTTTGGCTCTTGCCTCTTGGCTGTTCGAGTGGAACCGGGGCAACGGCCGCTTTCATCAATCAATTCAACGCCTAAGCAACAGCTGAAAATTGATCAAATCCGTTAAATAACATTCTATTTCATCCACTTCATCTATAAGCTAACCTTATTCGCTCGATAACTGAACTTAATCGATGTTATTTCTTTACTCGAATGATAAACGATAGTTGAAATGAGATGAAGGTTCTGATTAAATGCGGATGATCTGCATATAATGAAATATAAATGAATGTAATGTGAACATTGCTTTCATTACTGACATTACTATATGCTGATTCAATTCAACCTTCCATATCTATAAGAAGTATCCATTTAGTTCATTCACTAACCAGGTTAGTGGTTCATTATAATCCAGACTTTTATTCATTATGTACATTATTTATTGTCTAATGACTCAGTATGCTAACTAGTTAGGGTATTCACATACCTGTGTATGCATTTCACACTTTGCTCTACCGTTAGCTAGTCTCTTCTGCCTTGGGATTTGCCTACCCAAATCTATTAATAGGATTCCAAACTTTGTTTTAAGCAAAACAGAAAAGACTACATCAACTGAAGTTACCTATTCAAATGTAATCTTTTGTGAGACATAAAGAGTTGCAGGAAAGTTAACTTTTTGGATAAAACCCACTTACATCCATTGGAAATGAGTTATTGAATATCTGCCGTTTATGGGCTTATGGCCTTGTTGGCAACGGCAAAAGTTGTCAATGATGGCAAACCGAGCTAAAAAGTTGCTCGAGGACGCCTTGGACTCTAATAGCTCCGGCAGATGGAGAGAGAGAGAGAAAAGTAAGAAAAAACGGTGTTTTGCAATGCTACGCACATTTAAGGTAAATTTAAAACGCTTTCTGGCACCTGTCCTGCGTCTCATGAGATAAAATAGCAGAGCCGAAGAACTGCTAGGACTCAATTAAATGGCGAGCATAAAAAATAAAATATACACAGCGAAATCTAAATTTTATGTAAATTGCAAGATTTGTGCAAAACGTTAAGGGAATTTCGGGTGCCGTCGAGCTGGTAGGCGCTCGCAGCTAATTATACTCGGTGCCAAAATTATACAAGACTCGTAGCAACAGAATGTGAACTGTAAATAACTTCGTTCGTAACGGGAATTCAAGCGAAATGCTTGGGCCATAAATAGCCAAAAACTCAAAGAATTTAGCTGAAGAAGTTGACAAATGTTCGGATCTACTTCATGGAAAGTCATCTATTATCCATAAATGAAACTCGAGTAAGATTCCACATAGATGAATAGAGCTAGTATTTATAGAACTGCTTACACTATACTGTATATAAATTCGTACATTACCTATCATTTATTATATCACGAAGATAATGTGACGTAATAAAGATCTGTAGAGCAACATAGCGTCTTATTGGTAGAGTCGCGTTATGGGCTTTACTCAAGTTGGCAGCACGATATATAGAGTACTCAAATTGGCACTCGGAGAGAGTGAGACAACCATAGCTAATGCTGGGAGAGAACGAGATGGCATGTATGCCTACGTCACAAAGCAGTGTGTTTTTGCTGGAGCGCAATGTAGGAAAAGCTGCCAAGAATTGCGAGACGGTATGAGATGTGAGAGCAAGTGAATTGCAGAAGTACAACGGGGGACTCATTGGAGGCTGGGTATACAGATCTACAAATGTGGAATGTGCGTAAGCTACGACATACATACATACATAAGTACGTACGTATGTAAAGCACTATGCCAAATGTTAACAATGTAATGTTGAAAGTTCGGTATCTACAGACATACATATGTACATACATACATATGTACATGTGCATACAGTGACGAACTAAATTATTGAACCAGCCAGCTTTTTAAACTATAGCAATTTTTTAAGTCTCTATAAACATTTTCTTAATAAAACAAAAAATTATCTAAAAAGAATATGTAT